ATACAAGTATCCAGAAAAAAAATAATGTTTCCAAAAAAAACACTGATAAGAAGAAATGTTTCTTGAGCAGCAAATCAGTATATAAGAATGATTTCTGAAGAATCATGTGACACTGAAGACTGGAGTAATGATGCTGAAAATTCAGCATCACAGTAATAAATTAGATTTTAATATGTTAAATTAGAAAACCGCTATTTTGGACTGTAATAATATTTCACAATATTACTGTTTTTACCATATTTTAAATCAAATAAATGCAGCCTTGGTGAGCAGAAGAGAAACTTCTTTTAAAATCATAAAAATAAATCTTACTGAACCCAAAGTTTTGAAAGCTAGTGTGTGAAATATCCTTTACAAACTGAGGGACGAGTCAAAATTATTTTCTGTGGTATTCAAAACCATGCTACAGATGCTTAATATTTTAAACCCAGATTATTTCTTTATTCTATACTGCCCGTTTTTAACATAAACTACCCATTTTGATATGCATACAAAAAAAAAAAAACCTTTCATTCATTCACAAACACTCTAATCCAATAATGTCAATTAAAAATGTGTAAAAAGACTCTTTGTTGCATTGACAGACATGTAAATCCTCAATAGAGACAGATTCAATTGAGCTATTCGTTTCCATTTGGCAGAGATCTGAGCCTGTCCTTCAACGACGAACATCTTTAAGCTTTTAATGAACTTTTTTGAAGGGGAGTTAAAGGGAGGGGAACGGGACTATCAAACTATGACATATTTCAGGTTGTAAAGCTGCCAGCGCTGAAGCGATCAGGGCATTCCACAGTCACTGCATGCAGTTGTTCCAAGTCAACATTCTTTGGCCTAATGCAACAGACAGACAAGACAAGAACACTAGCCAGTGCTCCAAATGTGACTTGTTCACAAGCTAGGGGTTAGTTTAAAGATACAGGTAACACTTTATATAACACACTTTTAAACCCCAACACAAATACGAAACAAAGTTTCACGTTTTCAAGTGATCTGTCCAGCAAAATATATTGTTATAATCCTGACATATAAAGAAAATGTCCAAAAGTGTCAAGACGATCTGAAATCCCACACTTTTTGAACAATTAATCTTCACGCTCTTTCTAACTAGTCATGATGATTGAACATTTTTTTTATTTAGAACTCATTCTAGAGATATTGCTGACCAGATTTTAATTAATCTAGGTAATGATCATACTGTAATATTGGAAATCTCATATCATTTCAAACACTGCCTTGCAAGCAGGTTTTACTCTTTACAAGCACTCACAATGAGTAATATCCAACCAATTACATATTTAAGCAAGGCTTGAAAAATTATATTCCCTAACTAATTTCCATGCTGTACCTCACATTAAAATCCCCCGATATTTCCAGGTTTTCCATGACCTGGCAACCCTGGTCTACTTATCCAATTATGTGTACAAAGTCTGCTTTTGAAGGCCTACATAAGAGGTCAGAGAGTTCACAGAAACTCCAAAAGGCATTTAAACGATGGAAACGCTTAAAAAAAGTAAGTCTATGGCTAATGACCAAGACCACATCATAAATTCCATCTAAACACACCTTGAATGTTTTCATCATTTGGGGGGACTGTCGGTTTTGGGGACATATGGCCTCTGCACTGCGCATGCGCACTGCACATTCAAACAGATTCTACTGTACTTCTCTGATGTGCTCTTGAATGGAGGTGGAAAATTCCTCAAAGTGGAATTATACTCGCTCATAATGTACTGACGCGGAGGTGCTTTGTGAAAAAAAAAAAAAAAACTTTAGGAACCGGATCTGAACACAATAAGCGTAAAGAAACCCCAAAACCAAGAGTGCTTTTTGTGTAGCCATGGTAATGGAAGGATACTAAACTAGTCCCTTCTGTGAAACTCTGACTGTGGTCACCAACCATTCACTAACTAACTAACTGCACCCAAAGCTCGTACCGACAGGCCAAAAGCCATATTTGAAGAGTAATCCAGACTTAAAATGGATGCCGTCGTCAATTGAAAAGGACCTAACATTCACCCCTGCTGAACTCCGCACACACACACCGTGCATTTTCTCCTTTCACACACAGTTGTGTCCAACACAACTAATACAAGACATTATATCAGCCTCTGAAAAATCAGGGCAGTCGATCCACGATCCAAACAAGGGTAAAAACGTGCGAAGAGCTGGAATTGTGCGTCAAACCTGAGAAATACATGCAGAAGCGCGAAGAAAACTAACGTACGGCAGGCTCACCCAAAGTCATCGTCCATAGATTTAAAGAAAAACTTGTAGTTTGGTTTCTTGAGGGCATTTTTCAGGTCCAAAAGGGTGACCCTTTCGGCAGGGATGGGCAGTTTGACCAGGTATGGAGTTTCCTGGTCGTCGAGATGATAGATAACTTTAGTCTCCCCCATTGCAGACCGCTGGGGAGAAGTGAACGGCGGTCATCCAGCGCAGGGGCCCCTGATGCCCCTCCAGAGTGGGCTTTTGCTCGCTTCCACCCGCCAGTTGACTTTTTGATTAATCTCGTTCTTTCTTTCTTTCTTTGCTTCCTTGCCTTCCTCCGGAGATCCCAGGAATCTTCAATATCAGCGCGAATATTCCATGAGCTGATGGGTTTGGAAGGCGATTAATGATCCATACTCTTATTTCACTGTATCCCGCCCGTTGAGAACGGAGAATAGTGCGTGAAATGTGTGATAAAGAAGATTATTTTGGTCAGGAATGCCGTGGCTCCTCGGAGAGCTTCCCTGTGCTCTGCTTACAGAAGGGTTTGTATTGCTTTCATTGACGCCGAATGCCCGGGGACACGCGCTCCCCCTAGCGGTGAGGGGTGGTAGGTGTGAAAGTTACTTGGGGTCATTCTACCGAACGGATGCCATTTGGAGAATGGGGTAAACTGGGCCGCTTACCTTGTTGTCCTCCAGGCAAGGAGAAATGCATCTAAATATATTTATAGATGTCTAATATCAACTAGAATCCTATACAGATACAGCTATAAAAAAAGAGCACTTCTGAAAAGAAAAAAAAAGTGGTTCAGTGAAACAACATGCCGGAGTAAACTGTGTCATGTTAGGAGAAGTGTCATTGTATATATGAATTTGTATTTAAGTATATATGAATAATTTAAATTCCAAATAAAGATGGGAACACAATAAGCGTTTAATACAAATAATAGTAATAATTTATGCGTCACCCCATTCTAAAGTCTTATCATTCAGTTTAATTATAAAATATAAACAAAAAAGCAGAGAGAGAATTCATTTCTTTGAATATTTCAATGTAGTGAAACTTTTTTAATAGATTAAACATTTATTAAATCCTTTATTGGACTAAGAAAAAAGGCATTATTGTTCCACATAATCAAAATGTTTAGTGAACAGTGCTGGGTGGATTACTTACAAATTGTAGTCTGTTACTGATAGCAAATTAAGATGAAAACTGTAGTGAGTAGTGTAATTTAGATTACTCATTTTAGATTAGATCTTTTCGATTACTCATGACCTAACTTGTTTATAAATTTGAATGGGATTATTGTTATAAAAGAGCAATCAAATATAATCCATGCTTTGTCATCAACATCATGAAAAGCATTAAACATTATATTACTTCAAGGTTTAAAAGTAACCGATTATGAGCATTTTCAAATATAATATAATATAATTACAAGTACTACATTTTTGGAATCTGATTACGTAATCCAGATTACATGTAGCTAATCAGTTACTACCCAGCACTGTTAGTGAAATATGAAAAGTAACGAATGTAATGTTTAATAATTTGTTTAATGAAAACATTATGTGGAGATAAAAGCTAGCATTGTGTATTCTCTCTTTTTTGCAATAAAACACAAATGTTTTATTGGTACACATCTGCACATCTAATGAAAACATTTTTATGTCTTGATGAAACCTGTATATAGTTCACATTAAAGTAGGTTAGATAAAATTAGGGACAATACAATCACTTGACCTGGTTTATAATTGCTGTGGTTTGCAGGCAGATTTGTCTTCTGAATCATTTAGCACTGTTGAGTCACATGATGGTAACACCAGGGAAGTGCTCTAGGTTTAGACGATGAGGTGCTCATAGTCATTAGTCACATCAAATGTTCATATCAACTCCCAGAATGTCCTTTAAATGTCATATATTTTTTGATAATTCATAAAGCGTATACCAACTATGCCTTAGTGTATTTCCCTTCATGTTTTTCAGGTGTACAGAAAACTGTCAGACCTTAGTACACTGTAATGCTATCTTATGTATGACATTTCAAGTAAGTTTTCTTGTGTATGTAGCATGCAATGAGTAAGAGACAGTGTAGTACTATGTGCCACCCCATAATCTATATATGGGGTGACCATATATTAAAAAGGTCAAAGCAATCTGAGAAAAATCATTTGTAATGCTAAAAAAATATATATTTTTTTGAATGTCAAGTACAGTTCAGTGTAGCTAAACTGAAGTAAATGCAAATTTGCATGTCTAAACTACATATCATGCATGCTGGTGAATTGCCAATGCATAGAAGATTTAATTTTATTGGCTTAAGATTATCCATTAATTATTTTAATCAAAATAGTAGTGGCGAGTAAAGCGTGTCAGTGGCTCAACTAATAGCGATTACAAAGGGGCGACATTTCATATTTCTCCGAAATATTGATGGTTGAAATGTGTACTAATAATGTTTGTTCAGTCCAATAAAAGATTATGTAAAAACTTAAAGTTGTATTAAATGCTGTGTATTTTTAAAAATAAAACAATGTTGAAAACAGTCACACTACATTTAAATATAATGAATATTAAATCTTATGGATATGTGAGAAAACAAGATTCTCTACAGTCTATTTTGTGAACAACTCAATTATTTGTATTTCAAAAGTAAATCATTCTGGCACCAAATGACACCACAAATATGATCATGATTTTCTACTAAGTTTGGATTATTTGTTTTTTTATGCGGTGTACCACAAAACTGATTTTCAAGAGATCATAAAACATCTACATACAAAAAGGCAGACTGTTAAACAGAAGGTTTTATTTATAAAAGTATGTCATGCAGATTCACATACGCAGAAAACAGCATCTGGAAGAGAACAAGAAGAAATATTAAGCCGCAGAAACACTTGGACACAGCATGAACATACGAATGCGGAAAATCTGGCTATGTGCACCGTTATAAAAACAGCGGCCAGCCCTTATTGAACTCAAATTTATGTACCATACAAATCATTACAGAGCAGCAAAATACGAATCAAGTCAAAACAAATCAAGTTTGTCACAGAGTCAGTGTTAGTAAAACTCACCTCGCACACCACTAGTCCTTGAATGCTGGGTAATTTACCGCCACTGGAAAGGATCACTCTTCTGTGAATATAGACCTTTTATAATAAACAGGATGAATTAGCACTAAGCTTTGCATTTTTATGGATTACATTATCATAGTATATAATGCATCATCGATTGTTTAAAAAGTTGATGTCCATAACATGAAACTTTTAAAAGGCACAGATGTAAGCACCTTTCAGCAGCCACCTCATGTATTAATGTCTGCCCTAGTTGACACCACATTCATCTGAACAGCAATGCACAGGCAACACTTTAAGGCATGATTGGCTTCAACAGAATGGACAATGTTCAAAGCTGCATACCAGGTGTCATGTAACCCCGTCCATGTTGCTGTTGCAGCCCTTTACTGAATTTTTACCGCAGGGCTGCTCACCTGAAATGATAGAATATGATTGTTTAAGCATGCACATAAATAAGCATGCACATAAATGATCAGGTCATGAATATAGCTTATTGTGAATGCTGTTCTTGTCATAGCGCAAGCAAGAGAAACAATTAGGGTGTTCTCTCGTAAATGTGGCTATTTCAAGATTTATTGTGTGCCTTAGTTGACACCTCATTCATCTAAAGGAAAATGAATGGGCAACACAAAGGCAAGCTCGAGAACTGGGTGTCTGCATGGATTCAGTATAAATTGCATTTTAATGGAACTAGCTTCACTTTTTTTGCAATAAATATATTTAAAATCAGCTGCTGTCATTTTTGGAACTACTCACGTGCAGCAATCTAACATATGCAAAGTCATATAAAATGTAAATTCTCACCTGGAGTTCAAAAGCACACGGTTGATCCTTGTCCTCATGGTGTCGACATGTGACTTAGCACACCAGCCACTTCCTGCTGCGCTTAACACACACACACACGCACACGCACACGCACACGCACACACGCACGCACGCACGCACACACACACACACACACACACACACACACCCACACACGCGCACGCACGCACGACAAATAATTAACTGTACTTGCAATCATTAAAGTGATGGAACCACAAAGGCAAAAAATAATCATTAAAATCCAATAGCGAGGGACGTTCAGAATCCTCCCTTTTCATAATCGTACCACTAAACGTCAATATTTATTATAAAACCCGCTCATATACAAATAACATGTACTACTTGCCCATATGCTGTACAATGAACACGTCCAGTAGCACTTTACGAGCGCATGATGATCTCCACGTGGACACTACGGGAGGAACGAAGGACCCAGTGTAGGCGACTGAGAAAGTGCCTGAGTGCAATAACTTGAACTTGTTTCCTCAAACTACACAACCAGTCAAAGTTGGACACGCCTACTTATTCATCATTATAACTATTTCCCACATTTGATAAATAATGGATTTGTCTAGATTACAGCTCTGCACACTGTTCACTCTCTCAACCAGCTAAGGTCGTTTTCTAAACGGTACTGAAGAAGTTTCTGATTTTCCAGTATAATCCATAAAAATAAAAAATAAATAAAAATGTTATTCATTTCAAAATTCATTCTTAGGCACAATTTATATATTTATATGTTTGTATTGTTTAACACAAATTCATACAAGTTAATTATAACAGAAAAAAGTACATTAAAACAAATATTAGAGAATAAAAATCGAATTCGACTACAAAAATCATTTTAAGGCTTTACCCCTTTAGATTCTGAGCATTCAACAAGGGGTCTGTGAAGGGAGACCACTGAGAAGATATGATAAAACATTTGCTTAAACTATTATTATGAGATCTTTAACTTCTAAATCTGAATAGACATTAAAGGCAATGTAAGTCAGTGGTAATCTAAATGGTTTGGTTACCAACATTCTTCAAAATACCTTCTTTTGTGCTGCACAGAAGAAATCAAGTCATACAGGCTTGCCTTGGGTGAGTAAATACTTATTTTATTTTATTATTTTATTTTTGGCCGAACAATCCCTTTAAAAAATGTTTAGAAAAGCATTATATAAATTAGTAATTAAAAAAAAAAAATGGTATTTTGAAGGTTATTGTGAAGTGTTACTAAGAAAATCTAGCTATTTAATAGTGGAGGTCACTGGGTTGGCTGAGTCAAGGTGGGAATCATGAAAACATTAATTACATCATGTGTGTCCAAACATTTTCCAGTTATATCAACGAAGTATATATTTAATAAAATCAAATAATAATAAAACATTATTTGCATTCTCTCAACGCAATCCTACTTCTAACCTGCGGGGACGACTGTGGGACTCTTATTTTGAAATCCTCATGGTTTCGCTGCCATCTTGGATCCGAGTTAAATTGATCATCATTCTCTTTTGTGGCTCCTGTCAAATCGGAAGATCTGAGATCACGAACAGAGGCATCTGACTCTGTCAGACTTCGACCTAAAGAAACACAAACCCTCAAAGACCCTTAAACACCACCTGAGCGAATAACCGCACTAAAAACAAGGGTAAGCAGCTACTGAGAGTTAATTTCTGTATATGTGTCCTAAAGATAATCAACAGGAGCCAGCTAGTGTATATCGGTGTCGTCTCACGAGCTCAAAACATTGTATTTATCAAGTTAGCTGTTTGGGTAAATACGTTAGTTGAACTATTGTCACTTTTTGAGACACTCCCACTGTTATTTCATAGTGTATAAAAGACCTTCCTTCTTCAGTTTTATGTTTATCTCAGAACTTGAAATCCAGCAATTAGCACTAACTTACACGGCAGGGATGTGGCGCATTATAACGGTTGCCCTCGTCTCTGAACTAATTACTATTTTTGTTACACTTGCAATATATACGGTACACACTCGCACAGCTGGGCTTGCACTTAATAGTGTGCGTGCTCCAGAAACCATTCGGACTCTGTGATAACTCCTAGATAAGAGACTAAAGTGTTTGTATTATAACCTAAAGTGCTGATCTGTCTGCAGCTCCTTGTCCTAATGCCAGTGTGAGCTCTGAAACATAATCTTGCCTTAGTTTAGTTTTTTTTTTAGTGCCAGATCTCTAAGTAAGGTCGTCTATAGTTGATGTAATGTTGTGTTCGGGTCACATTCCTCACCTTTTGCTTCACCCTGATAAGACTGGAGGCTGTGTTTAGATGAAGGAATGTTTGGAATGATGAGCTCAGTATTAATGTACTTATTTTCTGTTATAATTAACTTTATGTTTCCGCAATCTTGACTGTATAAGCTAAAACCTAGTTTTTTTTTTTAGTACAATTTTTTTTTGTTCTTTTCATTAAGAAATGTCTTATTTGTATGGAAGCCTGTGTTGCTAATGGATAAAATAATAATAATAATTGTGACTGAAACCACAATTTAGACTTTTTTTCTTGCAATTCTGTGTCTATATCTCACAATTCCTACTTTTTTTTTTTTTTTGCAAATTTGAGAAAAAAGTTGGAATTGTGAGATATAAACTTGCAATTGAGATTTTGAAAAAGTCAGAATTGTGAGATAAAAAGTCAGAATTACCTTTTTTAATTCTAAAATTCTAAAATTTTATTCTGTGGTGGAAAAAACCCCCCACACAATTGTGAGAAAAAAACAGAGAATTTCGAAATGTAAACTCAGAGAAAAAAGTCAGAATTCTGAGTTTATATCTCGCAATTCTGACTTTTTTTTCCTCACATTTCTGAGCAATTACATTTTTGTTTTTATCTCATGGTGGTAACAGGCTTCCATATATTTCAGCCAAAAATCAGCAGAAGAAATTGTTTATATTATTTAAATAATTGAAGTAGATTTTCTACATGCATGTTGTTGGTCTTATTGTGAATACTTAATCCATGCATGTTTCTTTTTTTAAATTGACCTTGTAATTCTTAATGTCATAATTCAGTCATCTGGAAAAACTTCAGACTTCTGTCTGGTGAAGGATGATGGACTTTCCTGATCATTTAGTTTTATTTACATTTACATTTAGTCATTTAGCAGACACTTTTATCCAAAGTGACTTACAAATGAGGACAATAAAAGCAGTCAAAACTAACAAAAGAGCAACAATATATAAGTGCAAATGACAAGTCTCGGTTAGCCTAACACAGTACACGTAGCAAGGTGTATATATACACACAAACAAAGAAAAACAAGTAGATAGAATAGAAAAAATAGAAAGCTAGTTTTTGTTTTTTGTTGGTTTTTATTTAAATAAAGAATAAAAAAAAAGATAAATATAGATAAAGTAGAATTAAAATAGAATAGAAAGTGTTAGAGTTAGAGGGTCAAATAAAGGTGGAACAGATGTGTTTTTAGTCATTTCTTGAAGATGGTTAAGGACTCAGTTGCTCGGATTGATTTGGGCAGATTTATTTATTTATTTTGTATTATTTGTTTACAATTATCACGGTACGTAAGAAAATGTATGTCACTACTTCAGTTTCATTGGGACTTTAAACCTTTAAATTTTATTTGCATTTTGCCTTAATTTTAATTACAATTAAGCACATTTTCTTCACAAATTTCAAATTCTCATTACTGCAACACACAAAAATTGTCATTAATGTTATCAAGTAATGAAAACCATTCTGTCAACACAGTAATTTGTTTTTTTAATTATTATTTATAATTATATAAATAATATAATTTATAATTTATATAATTTAAATAAAAACAAACAAACATAAATTTTAAAATATTTAAATACTGAAAAATGTTACATTAAATTAAATTAAAAGCATCAGAGCAACAAATGCTGTGTTTATGTATATAATATGTTTTTTTTTTTTTCAATAATAAGAGTGTTGGTGGTGAAGGGGAATTAGGAATAATTAGGAAATTATTTACTTTTAAAATAGTCCTGTTTCCTTATGCAGAATGTAATTGCATCCCAAAATATTGCACTTGGTCATGTTCTTGGCAGGCTTCGTGAGATTCACCCAGCTTGGCCAGTGAAGATCAGAAAGACATCTGGACATTTTTCTTCAGCATAGCCGAATAGTTTGCACCACAGCCTAATCTCCTGACACAGTGATATTTAATCTTTTCTGCAACTTACAACTGTTACAAAATAATCTTTGCAGCTATTGATTTCTGTATTTTTTTTCTAACTAAATGCCTTTTAATTATGATCATCATTCCTGTTTTTTTGTAGCTTTTCACAGAGCCTGAATGGAGGCCCACGGTTCAGCCCGATTGTCCAGGAAGAGAAAGAGAGAAGGTTCAAATGGAGAGGCAGAGGAGGGCGAGAAACTGCTGAAGATAAAACGATACACAGTGGTGAGTGAGATCAAGGTGTAAGCGTGTGTACAGATGAGATATGGTATTTGAGCCCAAAGACTGTGATTCTTCTCGCCCCTCAGGGTCTGAAATACCCGGCTCCTTATGCAGATCAGCTTGAGTCAATGGAAGATAAGTCATATCAGCGCGTCACCATGGAGGAAGCTCGCAAAGGCACTCCGCGTAGGTTATTTGTCTTCTGTAGCGAATTCCTCTTGCACACCCATTCAGATATGCACGTTATGTGTTACTTTCATTCACTGAATGCATGACTGTATTTAGGTCGATTCATTGGCCTTTATATACGGTCATGGCCTGAAATAATGCATATTTGTATTGCAACATTTTTGCATTATTTCAACAGTGTATCCACACATGTATTTCAGAACAGACTGACTATTATAAATATTACAGACTGACCTTGACAGTATTATTGGCACCCTTGATTTAATCTCTTATGTTCTTTGGATCAAAGTGATTAAGTGTCTCTTATAAACATTCATGACTTTCCTTCACCTCTCTAATGGCATTTTGGCCCACTTTTCTTCTTCCATTTGTTGCTTTCAGACATGGCTATTGGTATTCAGTAGGATGCACGGCTGGACTTGTTACTTCTGAATAGTGTAGTGTTTTGTTTTCAACAATTTCAGGTTTTTGTGATACAT